TATAGCTATAGTTAAATTTCTACTACACTGTCAAACTTATTAATGTAGTTTATTTTACTCGCTATATCCCGATATTTTGTAAATTTCTGATTGAATATATCAACCTCATAATATTGACTAATGTAATATATGCAGTAAAACTGCTATCAACATGTTTGAAAACTTGGACATCAAGGAATGCAACATTTATTACATTTATTTATGAAAAATTCTAACACAAATGTAATCAAACTTGTTGGAGAATTTATACACAGCTCGTTCTTAAGAGAAACGAGAAAGATACTTAACAAAAACACTAAAATCTATCATTTATTATTTGCTATAGTTATTTTGTTTTTTAATATCTTACTTTTGTTGCTATAAACTGATGGAAACACTGTATTTCTAAGGATGCAATAAATTATCTCTTTATTTATTTATTTGGAAATTTGGAACTTGAAACAAGCATTGACTACTGTATCTATTACCGGTATTGGCTGATACACTTCAATTGAAGATACATGTGCCTTGTTCACAACAGATGACACATCACATACCATTCAGTCAGCAATATAAATATTTTCAAATTAAACACAGTGATTATGATCTTCAGAATATAAAAGTTAAGTAGGAAGGTCAATCTGATAAAAACTATAACTATGTTGTGTTACAATCACATGACCATATTTAAAGTTGTAGTCTTAGCAACACTTTGTTTGAACACTTGGCTATATTCAAATTAAAGTATCATATAACAACATATAATGCCAGTAGTCATATTTAGTGAGGATTTTCATAAATTAGTTTGTGATCGGATTTTCAGCATTTTACAATGTTACAAAATTGATGAATTGTTCACTGGATTCAATGATTGAATACATTGATAAATAGTGAAATATGTCAGGTTTTCGATCGATACAACTTTAAAATTTTATTTTACTCAAAAGTTAGTGTGAACTAAATTTTGCCATCATTACAACTCCAGTACATGTAAATGAAACAACAAAAGTTCAAAATATTTGGCTCAAATATTATACATTTCTATTTCCATAATACGTATAGATTATAATAAACTAAATAATAATAATAATTTTATTAACACAACACTATACTATACTAAATATACAGTTTGAAAATAGTTGTAATAATAAGAGAAACATATACAAATTGAAAATTAAATTAATATGCCATTGAACAGAGCTTTCATTTCTTTTCAGTTACAATACCAGACTGAAATCAGGGCATGTATGAAATGTTTTGACTTGCACCCATATATGGTAAATATGATAGAATGATTGTAAAGAGGCCCTGTGGAAGGTATTTCTGATAGGTTTCAATTAAACAGGCAATCAATATACCACCCACAATGAAAAATTAACTTTAAAATCACCTGAAACAACAACCGTTTGATGACAGCAAAGTTGATTTCGTTGAACTGTCCCTCATAGCTTTCATCTAATGGATGAACTGTATTTTTAGCTTTCTCTGGCACCAAAACAAAATCCATAGGCATCACACCAGACTTGTTCATTTTTGGTAACAATTCGTTGTTCAGTATTTTAAAAATCTCATCAACTGAATGCTACACTGCTCTTGACCACTGTGCTTAACTTGACTGTGACTGATTATTATCTTATACCCACCCACAAAGTGACCTCTGACCTGTGACCTTACAAACTGCAGACAGGAAAGTGATATAAGAAGTGACATCATAGGAAGTGACATCGTAGGAGTGATTCCCTATTTGACAGGTTTGTATATTATTATTTTATTAATTATGAACAGAATTTTAAAAAAGAGATAATATTCAATCCTATATGTACAATATGGGAAAAGGATGAATGAAGTATAAATACATAAATGCCTCAAATTACAATTAAAAGTGTATAAATAGTAATGTTCATGGTTTATTATAAATGTCTCCATTAAGTAACCATGTGAAGTTAAGATAAAGTCTGGTTCTGGATATAACTAAACAATGCTAAGCAACCAGAGTTGTGCAAGATCAATATTTATGTCAAACTATGACGTGAGATTAAAACATATAAGAAATGAATCAAATAATTATCTTGACACCCTGACAATGAAACAATTAAATTTTTTTATTATTTATCCCTGGGTGTGTGTGCAAATATTAATTTTTAGTCACTTTAGCAGGTGCCAATCTGACTGTAAGTTTTATATATGTGTCTTCATGCATGCCTAAGCTAGATCAACCCTGAAAATTATGCCGAGTCATTTTACACAACACCAGAACCAACAACAATAGGTTCAGAAGAATGTACCACACAAGTAGGTAAACAAAAATACCCATGATGTCTTGCTGGGCAAGAAAACGAGCAATGGGAAAAAGTGGAGGGATAGGTGGATAATCTTTTATATAATTTATTCATGGATTTTAAGCGATTTCATTCTAGACCCATATTGACATATAATTCAATTTTAATATTTCCATTAAACATCATGGTAATTTATGTTTTCAGTTAATATTTAAAACATAATCATGCTTAAAAAGTTTGTCTTGTTTAAAATTAATTGTGACAAAATAAATTTTCATAACAGTCACATGACCTCTGATCCAAGACCCAGTGAAATAAAACATTGCATATTAAACTTGGTTAACTCTTCTGGTGGTTTGAAGTTGATTAAAACTACAAAATTAATTTATGTACACCTGTACATTTATTATTAATTTTGTTCATTAATAAAATGATCAATATTTTATTTGAATGGAACTAGATCTAAGATACATGTATATTCACTTATTGAAATGCAAACAGCTGCAATATTCTCTATGAACCCTTTCTTACCAAACATTTTGCATATATTTTTTTAATGTCTATGAACATATTGATATTTCATTCATGCAGGGTTTGATAAAATATCAACAAAATCTGGGTTAATTTTGTTAGCGTTTAAAAACTGATTAATGGCCAGTCATTATGTATTCACTATGTCTCTGGGGAGTGAACCACTTTCTACAAATATGACCTGTAAATTATTTACTGCTAAATACATTGACCACTGTTGTTACACATTAAGCACCATACAAATGTTCAAAGACAGTATTTGGTTTAGTAGCATTCAAACTGTTAATATATAAATGGAAAATTTTAATAATATTATTGTTTGTGTTTGCATGTCATGAGGTTTAAAATATTTCATATCATATTCCTAATTTTGTGAACTCCTGTAACATTGTGATTTCATTTTTCTATAAAAATGTGTCATATAGGTTGCATGGGTCCCACATAAAACAATAGAGTATGACAATGGTAACATGGGACCCACATTAATCAAAGTAGTAAGATGACTGTGCTGCTACCTGTCCTCTAAATAGACAATTGAAAATCAGAAAATTCATTTAGGTTCAAAAATATAAACTGAGTTAGAAAATATTGCACAAACCAGGGAACGAAATACTCTGGTGCACACTGCAC